GAAAAAAATAATATCAACAGCACTTGACGCGCCCGGAAACCGAATATAATCAATCAATCCGAATCCTTTTTATCTGCCGCCCAGTCTCTCGCCGCTCTGATTTTACTCTCCTTCGCCGACTCTCCGAATCGGCCGTCCGAGCCACCCCCGCCGCCCCGACTCCCACTCCACCCCATCCCCGCCGACACACACGCTGCCATCACTCTGCAGAATCACAGCCGCTCCGGCCGGCGCCCCACACCGCCATAATTCCGCCAGTGGCGCGTTAACTTCCCTTAGATTATACGATTTGGTTCCATCCGATATTCATCCATGGCTTAGAGATTCCCTCATCGGCTTTTGGAGGAACCCCGTAGAACTACCTCCGTTTTCGTTTTCATGATTGACGGGACTGACGAGGTATCCCTTTCAGCTATGGTAGCGAATTTTGGATTGTGGGCATCAGACTGGTGGGGAAGAATGAATTATTACAGGGCGTGGGGTTCGCCCATAATTCCACAATATAGTAGGAATCATAAATTAACCTGTCCAAGCGCAACAACTGCGTGCCTTTCATGCAAGGTCCTATGGCACCCCGCTAGATCAGGAATGGACAGGAACGTAACTAGATTAGTTTACACTCGGGACAAAAACACCAGAGAGAAGGGATTATGCTTGGTTTCAAACGCAAAGAGAATAAATTACAGTAATTTCTAAGTAACAGTAAGGCAAAGCACACTACACACACATGCATGGAAATATCCATGGCTAAGAGGAACTCAAACTTACGACAACATGCATCGCACCAAGCGTTAATAACCACGACAGTTTATGTCTGCGAGTGCTGTCTTCTAGTTTATTAATTACTTTAAAATATTAAATAGTATTTTTATTTTTTAATATTTATTTAAAAAGGAATAAAGGGCAATACATATGATTTTATAAATGATTTCTGGAATTTCGTTACACTAAGGAGAACCTCATCGATGTAAATTTTATTGAATGTCACATCAAATTCAAACTCTTTGCATTTCTACGGGTTAGATAAATTGTTCGTACGATCTCTTATGCAATCGCCAGCATCTTCTGTTCCTGAAAACGCCTGATCAATCCCCAAACGTCTTTCGAGTCAACCGCAAATGGGTTTGCTCCTGATTCGACGAGCATCCTCATCACGTCCACTTGGGAAGTTTCTCTCGCAACAGTCAACGCCTTGACCTTCTGATCATCGGGTATGCCCCGCCGCAGAAACTCAGCGAGGCATGACGTGTGCCTGTTTTTGACGGCTTCAAGCAAACCTTCGTGCTTCTCGTCCGCGACGCCCGCGTCTAACAAAGCAGCAACGCAATCCGCGCGGTTGTGTTTAGCAGCCGCTTTGAGAGCCAAGGCAAGGCGTTCTTTCGACAACTCCACCCTTGTGGCGAGCACAGCCGTCAGCGCCGGGGAGTTGCCGTCGGTCGCAAGGGCGAGCAGGGCGTCCTCGGCAGCACTGCGGAAGTTGTCCGGGTCGATGTCCATCAGCGCCCAGACGACTTCTGCGTTGAGAGCGCGCTTTAAGGCCATCCGCGTCACCGGCGGTTGGGCCGTCGCACCGCCGAGGAATAGTGCTTTGAGAGCACGAGCGCTGCCTCCTTTGGCTGCTTGCACCAGGTGTATCTTCCCCTCGTCCACGTGGCATCCACCTGCTATGCGCTCGATCAACCCCTGTTCCTGCACAGAGGCTCCTCTGGCCAGGAGTATTTCCACTGCGTTGGCGTGGCCGGCTTTTGCTGCGAGGAGAAGAGGGGTCATCTGATTGTCTGCTAAAGCGGAAATGTCAGATTCTTTCGCCAACAGCATATCTATCAACTCCACGTGTCCAAACCCTGCTGCGTCGTGGAGCGCCGTCCTCCCATGGGTTCCCTTTGCCTGTACGTCCAGCCCCTTCTCTAGGAGCAGCTGCACGACTTCGCAGCTTCCGTTAACAGAGGCCAAATGCAGCGCCGAGTTGTGTTTGGCGTCGATGTGGTGGGGGTCGGCGCCCTTCTCCATCAGCAGTCGCACCAAGTGGGCGTGTCCGTGGCTGGCGGCGGTCATCATCGGCGTGAGTCCGTTCATCTCGACGGCGTTGACCGTCGCGCCCTCCGCCAGCAGCAACGCGGCGACCTCGGGGCGGCCTCTGCCGGCCGCCAGGTGCAGCGGGGTGTCGCCGCGGGCGTCGGCGGCGTCGACGCT